GACTAACTTTTAAGGGATACCCCAAAATGTAGTTCTAACGGCGCAAATCGTAGCCGTCCACATATACCAGAAATATAATTGGGCCCAGAATACCCCCTTCAATACTTCAATTCAACGATTTCCCATTCCGAGTTGGCGTCATCAATAATAGGCAGTAATCACTTTCTGTCTTTTTAAAGTGTTCGATAAGGTGCTGCAAATACGTGTTCAAGTAAAACTGGAAACCCTCAGCATCCAACATCCTTTCCTTGGATTAATTGGGTTCTAACCACACTTAAAACGGCTTAGTAATTAGTACTCAACGCCTCAATTGATTACGAGTAGCATATTTCAAGGCAAGGTCTAGACTCCTTTGTCAAATATAAAGGCGCAGAGTGGATCACGCCTTCACTCAAACCATCACTCCACTACCTGAAGGTGGCCAAATCCAAAATATTCAGCTTCTATGTCATCAAGCGCGCCTTTCCAAACTTCGATTAAGTGGGCTTTGGCAAGCTATTTGGGATGTTTGTGCGACTACACGTAGAATTTGCCATCCAAGCTTGGAGACCGTAGACAATCGAAGACCAAAAAACCCTCGAAATGGTTCAAAGACTGGCAAGCATACTAGTACGAAGCCAAGGGTACCTGCCTCATGAAACACGCTTGTCCAATCTTGATTTGTTTTCCCTAGATTAAGGACAGCTACGCGGTGACCTTATACAGGCGTTTCGCATGCTGTAGGATCAGGATTTTCGTCTCGCATCCAACGATATTTTTGAGCTAGCCACTACCAATAGCTTGCAAGTTCACCCCCTCAAAAAACGTATGACTCTGGCAATAATTAACCCAATAAAATTATTTTTCTCTAAGAGAGTAGTTCAGGCGTGGAATGCTCTACCTGTGGACACCATGATGTCCCCATCCTTGGACATATTAAGGCGAAGTTTTGCCAGCAAACTTTTACATACCACCACGTCACCTGAAACAACCGTGAGCTTTACATGCTACCTATATATACTTCTAGTTGTTTCAGTAGTATAATTGTTTAATCTAAAAATTTATCATCATATAAACAGGGTGTCCCAAAAAATGTATACACATTTTACCTATTTGTAAAATCGGTGTTTATAATAAGTTTATTATTAAATAAATGCTAAGATATTTACAAGTAGCATTTTATTTTTTTATCACTAAATGTTCTCAAACTGACGTCCATTTTGATCATGACACAGCTGACAACGCGAAACAATGGAATTCAGTATAATCCAGTATATATAAGGGAGATAGGCAGAGCCTTTGAAAACCCTATTTACAGATA